CCCTGAGTCCCTTCGGGGAATAGGGCGGCCTACAAATTGAATAAACTCCAACTCCAACTCCAACTAACTAGGCTGGCGTGCCTGATAACAGAACAAGAGGGACCTTGGAGGTCTTCTAGTCCAACCCCCCCTACTCAAGCAGGAAACCCCATACCATCTCAGACCAATGGTTGTCCAATCTCGTCTTAAAACCTTCATTGATGGAGCACCCTTAACTTCTGCGAGCAAGCCATTCCACCGATTAATTGTTCTCCCTATGAAGAAATTTCTCCTGATTTCTACGTTGCTTCTCTCCTTGATTAGTTTCCCTCCATTGCTGCTTCTCCTGCCTTCAGTTGTGGTGGTGGAAGAGGTTGTAAGTTTTGTTCCATGAAACAGAGAATATAAATGAGCTGCTCGGAGATACTTTCTCAAAGTATGCAATAGAAAGGAAGCACACCTACCTTGGCTTTTAAGCTTTCGATAAGCAGCTCCCAACTTTAAAAAAAAAATGAAATCTGGATTTTGCAGGCAACGTCTACATTTTGCAGGCTGATGTTTGATCTTAGTAAGAAACAGCAGGGAAGGAATTCTGTGATGTACAACTTGCAACAGCCTTTTTGTCCTGCGCTGACTTATATCTCGCATACCTACAGACCAAAATGTCTACCGATTTACAAGACCCGTACATTATTTTATCCTTTAAAAACAAAGTAACAAAAAAAAAATCTGAGTTGTTTTTTTACAGGGCTGGAATCAGGGCTGCAGAAACATAATTTGTTCTATAATGATCGCCGTTTCTTTTATCTGTTCCCAAGGAAAAGTAGAGAAGCCATCTGCAACCGTTGATTGTATTCATCACTAGAGACTGAAACATAAAGCAGAGTTTCTATTTTCTGGTTCTAGTCTACCAAAAATCTCAAGGCTAAATTCCACATAATTTAGCTGTACAGACACATCATCCCCAAAGCGCGTTTAAACCTAGGAGTAAAAGTTCATTTTTGGTGTCCATATGATTTTTTACTTAATTAAGAGCAGCCATAAGTTACAGTATGTTTCTATTTCAAGAAAACCCTAATATATATAAAAAGGCTATTTCAATAGAAGATAATATAGTTGAATTGGGTGGTCCTTGGCGCTCTCTGAACTTGGCTGTTTGTTCCAGACATTTTATTACCAAACTAGCTAACATCTTCAGTGCTGATGACAACAGTGAGTGTGGAGTTTGCGCCTGTTTATATACAATACCCTTCCCTTTACTTGATAGTTCCTTGTATAAGTTATTGTTTTCTGCTTGATAGTTTGTCTAGTGTTAATCCCTGCTTATCTGGGTGTTAGTTGCTAGAGGATTTTTTTTTTTAATTTCCTTCTTAGCTTTTTTATTGTCTCTTTTTCAATGCTGGGTAACTGTAGTTTACCTCTGTGTGTATTGATGGCCGATTTGTCTGAATGCTAAGTGTCCAGGATTTCCCTTGTGATTTGGGATGTAGTTTGATCTAGGATGCTCGCAGTTTTCCCAGTTCAAACCATGGTTGAGTCCAGTGGTGGGTTTCAAAAATTGTTNGCCATTTGTCTGAAACGGTGTAGGGTTTCTTGCCTAGGCAGGGGGTTGGACTAGAAGACCTCCAAGGTCCCCTCCAACTCTGCTATTGTATTGTATAACCCCATCCTGGCACTTAGGACTGTTGCAGCATCCCCACAGCCACATGATCAACATTCAGGCGCTTGGCAACTGGCATGGATTTATGATGTTTAGATTGTCCTGGGGTCACATGACCCCCCTTTATGACTTCCCAGCTAGCTTCCAGCAAGCGAAGTCAATGGGGGAAGCCAGATTCATTTAATGTCCACATGATTTATTTAACAGCTGCAGCAGAAGGGCTGTAAAATTGACTGTGACTCACTTAGTGACTAGAGTATCGATTGATTCTTTATATTCTTTCCTGCAACACCGCCAAGAAACGGGACCTGGATAGTTCCCAAAGTTGATGCACTGTATAGAGTCCTTTCAATTGCAATGGTGCCAAGTTCCATTCCCAGTTGTAGACAGAGGACCTTGATGGAGATCTTCAGGAACTGAAACATTTTCTAAGTCCACAAGAAGATAATATTGTATTTGGAAGGGACTCAGGAGGAGGATTATTGAGAGGTCCTTGGTGCTCTCTGAGCTTGTTTTCTTGCAGATGTTTCATTACCCAACTAGGTAACATCATCAGTACTGGAAGGAATGCAGTTGGAGGAGGAGAAAGAGGAGGATCATCATCATCATCATCATCATCATCATCATCATCATCCCAATCAAACTTGCAAGTTTCTTTTTATTATAGCCAGTCTCAATAGAAGTAGTTTCAGGTTTCCTGTGGAGTATTTAATCTCCTGGTCTGGCCTACTGAGTGGGGCTGACCTCAGTAGAAGGTCTAAACTCCATAGAATTCAGGCATTCATTCACTCCAGAATGAATGCCTGAGAAATCCCAATAAGGATGAAACTAATCACATCTTGCTTCAGGGGGTCAATATCTCTGAATCTGCCTGGGGAGAAATTCACTTCCTGCCTCTCGGCAGAAACTTCTCATTTTAGCCTTGCTCCGTATTCCATGCAGAGGAAACTGGGGAAGAGTTCGAGGAAAAAAAGACATGGGACCCCTCCACCCTAACCCTAATACCCCCCTCCAATCTGGAAGGCACAAGAGATACCTTGCCCCATTTGGGCATTCAATAGGGACTGGAGCAGAGATGGTATTCAGCAGGTTCTGACCAGTTCTGGAGAACCGGTAGCAGAAAAATTGAGTAGTTCCGAGAACTGGTAAATTCCACCTCTGGCTGGCCCCGCCCCCATCTATTCTCTGCCTCCCGAGTCCCAGCTGATCAAGAAGAAATGGGGATTTTGCAGTAACCTTCACCTGGAGTGGGGATGAAATGGAGCAGAGGTGAAATCCAGCAGGTTCTGANTTTTGGAACCTCTTCTGTAGGTGTGGCCTGCTTTCCGTGTCCATTGGTGGAACCTCTTCTAACCGGTTCGGTAGATTTGACGAACCGGTTCTACCAAATAGGTGCGAACTGGTAGGAACCCACCTCTGGGGTGGAGCCAGTCAGAGGTAGTATTTACCAGTTCTCCCAACTACTCAGAATTTCCACTACCGGTTCTCCAGAACTGGTCAGAACCTCCTGAATACCAACTCTGAACCGTAGATATTTGGAGATGGATAAGTTTCAGAAGGAGGAAAGTCAATCTGAGATTCCCATTTACTCTGAGACCCCCATCTTCATCACAGTGTTAAAGATAAAAGTACGTATCTTCAGTAGAGGGAGTTTGCATTTTTTGACAACAGTACAAAGAAGCTGGGATAAGAGGGTTCAGATTTAGTTCCTTGTTTCTACTCCCATCCTCATCCTCCAAGCATGGCTAAGATTCTGTTAAGGGTTTTGCATGCTGAGCTGATCAAGCAAGGATTTTTACATATTTAGCACCGGATGCTGAATTTGGAGTGCTTTGTTCTGCCCAACATTTCTTTGTGTATCTACACCATTATTCCTGGATTGTGAAGTTTTATTTGTGAAGTTTATTCAGTGGTTTATTTACAGAGAGAAAAGGCGAGGTCTTTCTTTCAAAGCTGCCTATTTCTAGAAATGATATGATTTTTTTTTTAATGTGGAGGAAGAAAAGGTAAATTATAGGCTAAGCATGGGCTAGAGGCCTTTTTCCCCTCTAGTTTATTTAGAATTGGAAAAAATAACATGTCAGAAGTCCTTACCTGTCATTCCTGAAATGATTTCCAGGAGAGGAAAAAGAGAGCACTGTGGTTTCCTCCTCTAAGGAGACCATCTGAATGCTGAGAAGACCATTCAGGTCATGATGCTGAATCATTTTTGTCCAGAGTGAAGTGTTCCAAAATACAAGGGGTGTGTGGGTTACATTTTATTTTCCATGTCAAATTCAGTTCAGTCTATTATTATGGGAAAGAGTTATTTGTGAAATCACCAAGACTATAACATCTCTCCTTTGGCAATCCTAAAATTAAGTACTATCTTTGTTATCTGCATAATCATTATTCTGAGTTTTTGCTTTATCACAATGAATTATTTCATAAGTTCAAGAGAATGAATATGATTGTTGTAAATTCTATTAAAGTGAAATAGATGAATGAGAATATAATTAAGTGTGTTTATAAATTTGTTTGTGGTTTCAGTATTTTATATTAAAATGCAATTGTGTCCATTGCAATTTAATGTAATATAATATCAATCAATCAAACATTTTGAAAATTATTTTAAATACCTTTATAACTATGAGGCTTTATGAACAGTGCTAAGAAAATCTATAGGGAAGCCATTTTTATTTGTTTTATTTTTCTGTAGAATCCCCAGATACAAAAGAGCCTAATCCAGTGCCTCATGCAACTTGTGAAGAAGATCAAGCTGATGGTATGTCTTCTAAAATCCTTTACAGAATCATAATACATAGTTTGATGGGATCACCAGTTCTTTTCATTAATAAAATCAATTTGCTTCTTCACATCTTAAATCAGCTTGTTTCATACATGGCTAAGGGCAACACTCCAAGACTTCAATAATCAATTTCAGTAGTGTAATCTCTAATTTTGTACACATGTTCTGATCAATACCATATTTATTAGAAATGAAGATGAGTTTTCCTCCCCAAATGTGATTTAAGAATGGGGTCATCTTACATGCTTTGAAAATACTGAAAGCGAACAGGAGAGTTGAAAGGCAACTAATGAGAGGGCAGTTGAAAACAAGGGATATGAATCCAAGCAAAAGAAAAGAAAAAGCTGCTATATATCATAAATCCACAGGGACAGATACCATTGCCCTTCCTTCTCTCTATTACTCTCTATCATTAGAATCTCTTGGGCCATAAAAATGCTATTTCAGTGGATAATGGGGGTCTTTACTATGCTCAGTTTTTACATAAGAATGGGAATAAAATGAGAATGAAGCTAGCATGATAACTGAACAAGACAAACTCCTGTGCAAAACTTACCTGGGAGTAACAGATACTGAATTCCATGAGATTTGCTGTAGTGCAAAATTGGGGAGGGTACCTTGTATTTGCAGCCCAGCACAAAGACTTCTACAGGCCAAGCCTATAGATACCTAGGATAGAGCATCATGAACTAAATGGTACTTAGTACACAATAAGGATGCATGAGCCCAGATAGCTTCTCCTCCCTTCTCTGAAGTACAATAGTTTGTATGTGAAATATTTCTGTGCAGGTGGGGAACAAAGTGATTTTGCAAACCATTACTTTAGAGACAATTCATTTTATCCAATTGTCATTAATTCAATTCACCAGCTTGATGATGTTTTCTAGTGTAGGTAATGAAACATCTGCAAGAAAACAGCCAAGGGCCCCTCATTTCAACTCTGAATTACGAATATTCTCCTTTATCAATATCAATTAACACTATATTTTTCACCAGCCCTCCCTTTCTAGAGAAGGGCCTGTGGCATGCATTTGCTTCACTCTTTCCTGAATCCAGATTTAAAAAAACCAAGATCATTGGAAATATTCTAGTCCTGCTTTATAACCCTAGTTGTGGCAGACACACATACTCATTTATTGAATTGACTTCAGCTCCCCTAGTTACCAGAGTAGGAACTGGACAATTTGCAGAAGTTTTGCCTCTTTGTGTCTATCTTCCTGTATGGAAGGACTGTCTTAAATAGAGGAACATCTTCCTTTCAGTGAAATAAAGTAGCCTTTTTATTGCTAAACATTTCTTAAATTAAAAATGCACATTAATATCATACTGACATCATTTTTCCATTCTTTATGACAATAGGACTGCAAGATGATTCCTCAGAAGTTGAAATGAATACTCAGGCAGATTCTCAGATCTCTTACATGGAAGCTGAAGGTAGCTTTTGTTCAAAAGAAGAGGGAAAATGTTCAAAATGTTCAATCAATTATTTATAAAGTCCACACCATTTGAAACATTATTTTTAATTATGACTAGTATTTAAATATAGATCTAGGGAACAAATGTCTTCTTTATATTTTAGTTTGGGACACTGAACAAGATATAATTGTAGATTCCAGAGAATTTCCACTATTAAAATTTCCACTCCCGCAGATCCAGCCGAGACACAAGGGAATGACTTGGCAGACCATCTCTGGGTTGAGTTTCAGGATGTTGCCTCCGGNTGGCCAACTTCCTGTCTGCCCTCTGTGGCCATCCCCCTCATTTTGCAGTGACCTTCTCAGCATGACCTACTTCCGGTCTGTTCTCCACAGCCGTCCCTCTCTTCCTGTAGCTGCGTATCAAGTACTAAACAGATACCAAGTACTGGGACAAGATTTTCACATCAAAATGCATCCAGTAGCAAATTTGACAGGTTTTGAAGCAACCAAGTACCGAGGTACCACTGTATTGTGATTCAGGGCCCTGTATGGCGGGTTGGATAAAAGAACAGGGCAGTGCAATGCACTAGAATTAATTCCAAAGGTGGGCAGAAGCAGGAAGAGAGTGCTTGTCTGCCTGTGCTATGTTTGTCCTTAAGAACGCCAAGGCCTCTTTCTGAATTTAGAGCAGTCTTTGACTTGACGGCCACAATAAGATTAGGAGAATTCATCATTCACCACTGATGTTGTTAAGTAAGCTGACCACAGCCAATTTTACAACCTCTTTTGCTACAGTCATTAAGCTGATCACTGCAGTTGTTAAGCAAGACATCACAAGACTACAAATGGCAACCTTTCCTGCCAGTTTCCCCCTTGATTTGCTTCTTGGAAGCTGGCTGGTCAGGTTGCAAAAGGAAATCACGAAGCCATGGGGGATGCTTTCATCGTTGTAAGTGCAAGGACAAGTTGCAAGTCCTCTTTTTAGCACTGTTCACTAAACGAATGGCCGTAAGTTGGGGAGTGCTTGTATTTAAGCACCAAGACGTGAGCTAAATATCTGTTTCCTAACATTTTTGCTCTCTATAGCTGTCTCTCTCTTCTTTTTTTGTCTCCACCTGCTCCCCCAGCATGACACCTGCCCTGTGTGTCGGAAAAGTTTAAGCGGGCAGAACACAGCCACAAATCCACCTGGACTCTCCGCAATGAATTTTGCTTCCTCCTCGTCATCTTCCTCCTCCTCCTCTTCTTCCAGTTCACCAAGTAACGAAAACTCCGCAAACAACTCATGAATCTTTAAAAAAAAACAAGCAAAAAAAAAATGTCGCCACTCTCATGCTCTTTTTCTAATGTCATAGCCCTTCCTTGCTTCTCCCCACCACCACCACCAGGGGGAAATCTGTGGGGTGGGGAACGTCCAGTACAGAGCCGTGGGGGAGGGCTGGGAATGGGAATCTCCACTCTTCTCCCCTCAACCGCCATCCACTTCAAGACCCTCTTGACTTTCCGCTCTCTTCCCTCCTGTCCCCGCCCCCCCCCCCCCCGTGGCCCGGCCCGATGTTTGGTGTTCAATCTTGCATTCTCTCGAGGGAACGATGCGGGGCGGGGTGGGGGAAGAACCTCCTCTCTAAAACTGTGCTGCTGTGCGGACTCTTAAAAACCAGCCCGACTGCGCTGTGTGACGAGCGGCCGTGTGTCAGAACATGAACAAGCACTCGATGTAAGGGAGATCGGAGTTCCAAAGGGGCGTTCTAAAAAAAAAACGGATTGTCTATCCCTTTCTCTTCATTATTTTTTTAAAATATAATTTTGACAGATGTCTCCTTTTTTTTTTTTTTTTTTTGTTCTGCCCCACTTCCCGTCCTGCCGTCAGCTCTCTTGAAGAACTGGTGATACCGATCCTTGAAAGTAGAAATGTAATGAGAGTTCCTTCTTCCCCTTCCCCTCTTTTCCTCTGCGGATTCTCTGCTGCTGGAGAAGCTCGTGAGGAGGCTCTTTCCTTAGGCGCCAGCAACAAAGGGGGAGGGAGGAGGAGGAAGAAGAGGAGGAGGAGGAGTGGGGAGCGAATTTAACAACCAGCGCCACTTCCTGCCTCTGCACAGTTTCTCCCTTCCTCCCTCCCTCCCCGCCACCACCCTCCCCTGTTACTAACACCGCCCTTTTTGACAAGTCGATACCGAGAAAGGGGTTTTTATAATTTTAAATTATTACTGCTGTTAAATAA